ATACACCACAGTGAATTTCAACATTGCATACATCCACAACACTGGGATCCTAATTAGAATATACTTCATGTTTGTATAAATATGTCAAAATAGACTGTACTGTCATGTATACCTAAAAAGAATAAAAATAGATTTGAATTTTTTTTAAAGTACTCCAGGTAATTCTTATCATTAAAAAATTAGAAACAAAGAGCCAGAGGGTAAGGGGAAAAACAAAAACAAAAACAAAAACAAAAAAACTTGTTCTCCTACAAATGCCCAATATTAGTGGTGTTCAGATGCTCTGCTTGGTACCTCCTCCATAGTTAGGAAACCATGTATCATATCTTCTCATGTTTAAATCAGTGTAACGGGTTCACTCGATGCTTTGACTATATCCCTTGCGACTTTGAAACTTACATGTTTTTTTTCCTTTCCCGCCCACCCCCACCTTCCCCAGACCTTCTCCTCCCTGATCTTCTTTTCCCTAACCTTCTGCTTCCTGATCTTCTCCTCCCAGATTTTCTTTTCCCTGACCTTCTCCTCTCCAAACTTCTTTTCCATGATCTTCTCCTTCCTGATCTCTCCTCCCTAATATTATTTTCTCTGAATCACCTCTTTAAAAACCTCAGTTCCTGCTGATGGGAAGAATCACCACCTTTGGGACAGAGGTCCTCTGTGTTTATTTCTCATTTGCTAGCAAAGCAATAAACCTTCTTTTTCCTTTTTCTTAAAACCATGTCCTCTTTATTGGATTGGCATTGGAGACAAGGACCAAGCTTTCAGCAACATCAGCCTCTAGGATTCTTCATCACAAATTTGAAACTGTTCCCAAGAAACTGATGAATTGTAAATAATTTTAAGTAAAACTATTAGCACAACACTTTTAAGTGTATTCAAGGAAATCTAAATAAAATAAAGATTCAATACCTCCCATAACAATTTTAAAATGCTATTAAAGAAAAAGCTCAGTGAAGTTGGTCAGTAATTTTTACTTTTTAAAATACACTTTTTCCTGAAGCTAACATACAGAAAAGGACACAAATTACAGGTGCAGCATGACAAATTTTAACAAAGTAGAAAAAACACCTATGTAGCTACCACTCACACTGAGTAGGGAACATATCCAGTCACCAGAAGCCTCCCTCTCTCTACCTAGGCAGCATCCAGTCTTCAACTCAATTCTCCTAACAGAACATATTTAATGCTTGTCTTTACATTATACCATACTTTCTCTCTAGCAAATGTATACATTTTGAAATTAAAATCTCCTTTGATCATAAGGCTTTCTCTGGTTAAACACTAATCAGTGCCTAGAAAAGCTTGCAGTGAGATAAGAACCCTAAAAGAACGTGATAATGAAGGGAATGGAAAGYGGAAGAGGACTGGCCACTTCACTTATCTCCAACCTTTAGGTGAGGATCAAAGCAGAGTGACCTTGGTTGTAAAGCAGAAGAATGTGCTCATAAAACATCTGAGGAACCCCACCTGCACCCATCCTATGGATTCCCCCTGCTTACAGGCATCACGGGGCTGTCTTAGCCCAGCCTGTCTCCAAGGAGGAACGCATCAGCAATAAAATGTCCAGAATCTCTCCCTTGACTCCAAGTTCTTTCTTTAGGATCAGTAAATATGTGTGTGTGTCTGTGTGTGTGCAAGCACGTGTATGTATATGATTATCATTGCAAGTAATGTAGTATACATCAAAACACTCTAAATATTAAAAAATTTTAAGTATATTACAGGTTGACCATCCTTAATCTAAAATCCAAAATGCTCCAAAATCTGAAATTGTTTGAATACCAACCTAGTACCCAAGTGGAAAATTCTATACCATAAAACTGGCTCATACACAAAGTTTATTGTTAGCATTGTTGTTGTTGTTGTTATTACTTAGGGTGCTGGAGATTAAACCCCAGGCCTTGCACATGCTAGGCAAGTGCTCTATTACTGAATTACATCCCCAGACCAGTTACATCATTACTTAAAATGATTCAAAATATTGTATAAAATTACTTTTGGGCTATGTATGTTTATTTATGAAACAAATAAATTCTGTGTTTAAACTTGGGTACCATTCCCAAGATATAAAATAGAAATTTGTGCAAAACAATGAAACATTTAGGAACTGTCATAGATGGGGAGGAAGTCAAGGATACATGATGACTGTATGCTAACGTGAGATCCTTCAACAGAAAAAGAGTAGAAAAACTGGTAAAATAATAACATTTGTAGTACAGTCAATATAAGGTCCTTGCTTAGCCATCTTATTAAGTGACAGCCATCATTTTAAGGAAAAAGTTCAATTTCCCGTCCTTGGGTGGTTCTAAGAAAGGATCACCACTCCCTCACACCAACCCAACCTTAACCAACTATATTAGGACCAGCCCGCCCAGCTCTGATTCCTGAGCATCCCCCATAAAAGTCCCAGAACTCAAGCCTGTTTTGCCTCTCTCTCCTGTAGAGAGATGGCCTTTATTTATCCGCTCTGACAAACTCGTGTATGTATCTCTGACTGGTCTCTGTCTTTCATTTCTTGCTTACCTGTCTCTCATTCCTCACTTTCTCTTCAGTCAATAGTATTATATTAGTTAATTTCTTAGTTTTGATAATTATACTATTCTTGGGCCAGCTATTATCACAGGAAATTAAGTTAAAAAAATATAGCAACTCTTTATAATGTAATTCCAACTTTTCTGTAAGTCTAAGATTAAAGTTGAAAAGTCTTATTGAGAAAGTACACAATATTTAATACTGCTAATAAAGTGCTTGAATTTCTCTTGCATGTGAGTTATAAGAATTTGTATTAAAACAGGAAGGATATAGCAGAAGTCACAAAATTACTGAAACTAGAAAATGAATTATAAATGTTGCCAAACTTCCAAGTATAAAGCATTCAAAGAGCAGTCAAGGAAAATATATGTTGGAATTTATATTACTGAGTCCAAATTGAGATGAAATTTGTACACAAGTACAGGAATACTCAAAAACTATTAAAATAATTAATATACTACTAATATGAATTAGGAATGCAGACTGTAGTATGGACTATTTTAAAGATTGTTTAAAGACCTTTTTTAAACAGATGCATCTGCTCTCCTTCAAGCATGCAGTCACACATTTAGAAAACCAAATCCAGGCACCAAGGAAGAAAATTTAAGGTTTAAATTATTTTCTGCCAATGAAGTTCAGACATAAATAAAAATGGAACTTACTATGAAGACATACAATTATCCAAGACTATGAAGAAACCATCTGACAAGAAAGAGTACAGGCCAATATTTACACACATTGCATGCACAATAAAAGAACTGAAAAACCAAGAAACAGCTTCGTATCATGAAAATGAGGACAAAAGCACATGAGAGAACTGAAAATAAAACTGGTTTTATTTGGGGTACAAGCCCTGGAGATAAAATAAAATGTAACCACTGACCAAATAAAAACTTTCATTAGATCTGCATCTCTCCATTAGATCAGGGAGACTGGCTACCCTCTCCATCAGGCCACATATCTCTCCATGAATGCTGCTAGAATAAGGTAGGGTTGCAGCATTAACTTTCTTGTCCTTTCTCAGAGATGCACATTAATAAACTGTTCACATAAATACAGCTAACCCACAGGGTGCACACTAGGTGGCAGGCACCACCGTAAACACTTCACATCTTGATATATTAAATCCTCACAATAGTACGTATTTGCCTGCCATTAGCACCTGCTTTTTACCAGTGAGGAAACTGATGTGCAGAGAGACCACTTGCCTAAGGTCACTTGGCAGATCTGGAATCTGAACCCAGATAGCTGGCTACAGAGCCTGTGCTTCTATCCACAATGAATGTCTCTGGAGGCTGCCTTAACAAACACCACCGGAAAGAGCTTTCTATAGCAAAACAACGCAATTATTTGAATTTCTATTTAATTATATGTCAAAAAAATCACAAAACAATCTGCCATTATAACTTATTGACAACTAGATCATGGCATCTTTACTTGTGTTAAAAGCAAAGAAATGGAAACCACATCACGGAAAAAGAATGTGTTATGCTATTGCTAGAATTAGACATTAATTATTTTGTACCTTTGTTTGGAACCCTGGACATTTTTACACCTATGGACAATGCATCATAGTAAGATACCAGATGAGCCATTCTTTTATAAAAGGGGAAGAGGAGATAAGAAAGGAGAACACACCCACCACAGGTGCTTTTGAGAAGCTCAATTTGGGGACTGCAGTTGTAGCTCAGTGGCAGAGAACTTGCCTAGCATGTGTGAGGCACTGGGTTCAATCCTCAGCCCCAAATAAAAATAAATAAATAAATAAAGATGAAGAAGAAGCAGCAGCAGCCGCAGCAGCTCAATTTGTGCACTCTCGCTCTCTCTCAGCGCGCGCGCTCGCTCGCGCTCTCTCTCTCTCTCTCTCTCTCTCTCTCTCTCTCTCTTTCTGCCTCCTGAATGCCATGTGAACAGCCTTACTCCTCCAGAAACTCACCACCATGATGTTAAGTTTATAAAATAAATCACAGGTTATCCACAAAAAAAAAGAAAAAAGAAGCAGCTTTCTCTTTTAAAACCATATATGCCTCTCCAGTCCTTGAAAAGTGTCTGTACCTGCCCAGGGACTGATGTCCTAGACCAGATTTCCTTTCTTTTTTTTTTTTTTTTTTTTTTTTTTTTTTTTATACTGGGGATTGAACCCAGGAATGCTTTGCCACCAATGAGCTACATCCCTGGCTCTTTTTATTTTTTGAGACAGGATCTCACAAAGTTACTTAGGGCCTTACTAAGTTGGCTGGGGCTGGACTCAAACTTGTGATCCTCCTGCTTCAGCCTCCCAAGTCACTGGAATTACAGGCACACATGACCATGCCTGGCCAGTTTCTTTCTTTCTTTCTTTCTTTCTTTCTTTCTTTCTTTCTTTCTTTCTTTCTTTTTTTTTTTAAAGAATGTAACTATCTCTGCCAGCCACATTGTTCCAATGTCAACTACCTCTAAATGCAACAAAGCAGCTACAGGAGCATTACCTGGGAAAGTGATTAACCTTTTGTGCTTCAGAGAGGGTGCGAAGTAAGAAGGGCTTCAGGTGGGATCCTGTCCACATCAAGTTATAGTCAGTGCTGCTTGGGTGAACCTGCGGGCAGACAGAAGGAGAGAAAAAAAAATCCTTTCCAGGAAAAGCGATAGTAGGAAAGTCATATTGATTTTTATCTAAAGAGAATTCACAAGGTAACCCAATTAGTATGTGAGCATTGTAAGAAAAGATTGTCACAAAACACAAGATAATCATGTTTAAAGAATGAGAAAATTGGGGAAATCCTAGATGCACAAAATAGAATAAATTAACCTCCTGTATAGAACTTGATACTATCTCATATCCTCTGGCATATCAAAGTCTGAGATCAGGGCCCAACCCCAAAACTTCTTCCTCAGACTTTCCTCATGCCATTACAGATAGATGCTGATCACAACTAAAACCTTACAATATTTAGACCATTCATTCATTCATTCATTCATTAAAATTCCTATGACCCTTCATTAAATAATTAAGAACTCCATACTATTATGTAATAGGACCATGATAACACTGGTGATAAAAGAGCAACAATACAGAATATAAATGGATATGACAATGTCCCCAAATATCTCCTCTTTATAGAATAAGGAGAGATATCAATCTGAGTTATCTCCTTATTCTATAAGGAGCTAGCAATCAGACTTCCATCATTATTCTCAAAGTATCTAGAGTGGAAGTCTCTTGAGCATTTTTACCTATCCTTTTTGATAACAACATCCCAATTTCCCATGTTTCTTTGGAGGAACGACTTATGTTTCAAAGGACCTGCCAATCCCCCACAAACACTCTCCCCAAGTCAGTAGATTTGTGAACCAAGCCAGACTGAAGTCCAGTAACTTCTATGGCCATTCCTTGAGGAACTAGAGATTCCTGACCCTAGATCTCCAAGGCTGTCCTGGTCTCCCTCTTTCCAAAGACTTGACTTTGGGCTTTTCCTCTGATTCCACCAGCCATCCTCTGCATACCTTTCCTATAAATCCCTTTTGGTTAAACTGAGTCTGTTTCTGTTGCTTGCAATCAAAGAACCTTAACTGGGTAACAGACAATTCCTTTATGGGCAGCTCTGCCTCTAGTTGAAGCCTAAGAACATTAAAAAAAAAAAAATCCTGTGAAAATGCTTTCCATGTATTATAAGAAGAAACTGATAAAACCACTCAGCAATTCAATCCAATTCTGCCATCATCACTAAGCATGAGAACCAAGTACTTTTCAGAGCTAGCTCTGGTAAATGATACGGTTAGATGGCTAGGATTTTCAGCTTTTAAGCAAACCAGGTGAGATAGTAAAATTGAGCTTACTTCATGAAATCCATGGGCTGTCAGAATGCTGCGTACCAAGCGACTGTCTGTTCGCACAATCTTATAAGACAAATGATAGCGTTCTAAAGAAAAAACAGAATCAAGTTCAGAAAACTGAATATCAACTGTAAAAATAAAATGAACTGTAACATGATGGCTTGCTTAAATATACTCATTAACATTATACTCCTACTCTTAAAAGTACTACTAAAAGTTGAAAGTATCTGGGATCAAAGGTCCTTACCCTGAGACTCTTTGGGGTTCACTAATTGGATAAGAGGTGAAATGTCCATCTTTATTTTTGCCAGTTTCTGGTTGAAATTTAGCAATGCCTTCAATGAGGAAAATGGACAGCAAAGCACATAGTACTGACAGCATCTGTGAGCCTACCCCCAACAGATGTCAGGCATTCTAAAACTGCTTCACAGTTGTTACAGTTAGCTCAAAATATCACTCATTCTCATCACAGTATTTATAAATTACCCAAGTTAATTCCACTAGATGTGTTATTCAATGCACTGATTTTAAAAAAAAAGCATACATACCACAATGTTTTAAAATATTTTCATTACTATATTTCAACACAACTGATTTCTTTTGAATCACTTATACTTTTTAAATCAACTTAACAACATTATCCTTTGGTTTTGGGGGATTGGCTTATTTCACTTATCAAGATAGTCTCCAGTTCCATCCATTTACTTTCACTTCTCTTTATGAGTGAGTAGTAAATACTTCTTACTGAGTAGTAAGTGCTCGTATATATGTACCCAGATTTTCTTTATCCATTCATCTGTTCTATATATCAAAATATATTCTACTGTCATGTATAACTAATAAGAATTAAAAAAAAAAAAAAAGAATCCCAATCACCACATGAAGTCAATGTGTGACTGTAATCTACTTAATGGAAGAAACTATGGCTTATTCACTGTTGTTACCTCTGAGCTATCGTTATAAGAGTATTAACTATGTATATAAACTGCACAGTAAAAACCTACTGAACTGTGAAAAAAGAAACAGAAAGCAAATATTATCCTAGGGCTGGGGGGTTTAGCTCAGTGGTAGAATGTCTGGGTAACATTCTCAAGTGCTAGATCCAATTCCCAGTTCTGCAAAAAAGTTTAAACAAATAAAAACATTATCCTGAGAAGAGCCCCTTAGGTGTCTCCAGACTGCCAAGAGGGTCTACTATACCCAAAAGACTTAGAACCCTGCTCTAGATAGCCCTGAGTCCAATAAAGCTGATTTCCAGCATATTAGAAACTGGTGGCACAGCTGCCCTTTCAGGACAGGCCCACACTACCCAGGTCAGCACAGTACCCTGCCTGCTTCACTCATGCACACTTCTTGCTAGATTCCTGCAAGCATCTGTGCTTATAAGCCCTGTCTGGAAGGAAAACCTATGATATATATCCTCAAAGACTAACAGTAAATTCAATCTCTTTCTATGTGCAACAACAAACTGGGAAAGTTAGCTAAGAATCCTACAGGACAATATTTTAAGAGGAATTCATACTGAACAATTTCTGAGTGCGTATGGTACAGACACAGAGAGATTCTAGAATAATATTCAGCCTCTGTAGTCAAAGATGACCATTTCTTTTTTTTAAATTTAGGTGAAAATCCTCATAAATCCTCGCTGCTCCTTGCCCAGCCCTGATAGGAGCTCCATGCCAAGCAGATACAGAAAGACAGGCAGAAACACACAGACACCCCGCACTTCTTGTAGCAAGTTTTCAAAGCCCAGTCACAGACTTCCCAGTGATCCGTCACTGTTCATGTTGTCTTTACAGCATGGCATAAGAAAGAGTGCAGTGATTTGTGTTTACTTCAGCACAGAACAGGATACAAGAGCAGGACAGGGCGCAGCTCACCAAAACATGTTCTGATTCCAAGTTGAGGAAGGAAAGCACAAGATGAGCCTGCAACAGCTTACTTTTCAAAAACGAGAGAAATGCTCAAAAACTGATTGGGAGCATGCCATAAGAGCTTCAAAGGGCGCCCAATGACCAAATTTGAGACAATTTGAATGTAAAATTGAAAAGTTATAGAAAGTTATACAATTTGGATGTGAGGTGAACCCCCCACCCCCTGGCAAAGTGCCAGTTAATGTAGGAATGTTAAGAGGTGAAATGTTTGGATTTTGAGAGCCGTAACCTCTTCAGTCCATCCTAGTTTAAATGCACTGGCTGGATGGAACTGTAGGCAGGTGGAATGTGGCTGTGGGAACTGGGTCACTGGGGGCATGTCCTAGAAAGCTTCATCTTCCCTGTGGCTCCTTCCCACCTCTCTCCTAACTTCACCATGAGCTGCATAGTTTTCCTCCACTGGGCCCTTCCCCTATGATGTGATGCCTCATCTTAGGCACAAAGCAATGGAATCCACCATCTATGCACTAAGACCTCTAAAACCATAAGCCCCAAACAACTTTCCCTCCAAGTTGTTCTTGTCAGGTATTTTGGTCACAGCAACACAAAAAAAGAGTTAGGTTATAACGCACTTATAAAAAAAGAATCCATGAATCGACACAGATAAGAAAGTGAGAAGGCACAATGGCTTTCTTTAGCTGCTATAACAAATTGCCACACTTGGCAGTTTAAACAGAAATGCATCATTTCATAGCCCTGGAGGTCAAAAGTCTAACACAGATTTTCCCAGGCTCACACTAAAGAAACAGACATCTATGTTCCCTCCTGCAGGCTCGGGGCACCATTTGTTTCCCTCCCTTTTCCAGCTTCTAGTGGCCACCCCATTCCCTCACTTGTGGCTTCCACTTTCAAGGCAACAATTTCAGGTTTGGTCTTTCTCATGCCGCATCAATCACCTCTTCTACTTCTTTCTTCCCTGGTGAAGAACACTTATCATTGTGTTGGGCCTACTTAGACAATTCAGGATAATCTCCTTATCTTAAGGTCATCTGGTTAGCAACTTTAATTCTCCTTTGCCATATAAGGTAATAGTTGACAGGTTTCAGAGATAAGGACATGGACATACTGAGTGGGGGAGAATCCAGGGTCTACCTCTGGCCCCCAAAGATTCACACCTTTCTCACATGCAAAAGACATTCACCCTATCCTAACATCCCTATCAACTCAAAGTTTAAAATCTAATCTAAATTTATCGCCTCAAAATTTCCAAATTTCATCACCTAAATAAGTAAAGCTGGGAACTCTGGGTATCATTCAACCTGGGGCAGAATTGCTCTCCATCTGTGGACATGAAAAATAGGAACAAGTTATTTGCACCCAAATACAATGGAAGTACAGCACAGAAAACCAGCTATAGATATTCTTGTTCAAAACAGGAGGAAATTACTGAGCACAATGGTGCACATCTATAATCTTGGCTATTACACAGACTAAGGCAGGAGTTTCCCAAGTTCAAGGTCAGCCTGGGCAACTCAATGAGACCSTATCTCAAAATAAAAAATAAAAAGGACTGGGGGAAGGTAACTCACTGGTAAGGAATCCCTAGGTTTAATCCCTAGTACCTGAACAACAACAAAAAAAAATTAAAAACAATAAATAAAAATAAAAAGGGCTGGGGACATAGCACCCCTAGGTTCAATTCCCAGTACCACAAAAACACCAAGGGGAGGGGTAGAAAAGTGAATGGAAAAAAAAAAAAAGGAGTCACAGTTCTCAATAATTTAAAAATCAAGCAAGGCAAGCATCATTAGATTTGAAGACCTCAGAATAATGCTCATGATTCACAGGTCTATCCTCTGAAGTTAAGGATCCATCCTTGGATTTATCTTTCCTTTTCCATAAAAGTTAGCACATTTTTGCAGCTAAATAATTTTGTCATCTGGCTTCTTGCCTATAGAATGTGGTGGCCCAACAGCCTTCTTTCACTTCTTTCATCTCATCTTTCAGTCCAAGCTGGCAGAGTATTTTCTGTTATAACATTCTAAACAAGCTTGCAGGTCCCCTCTTCATGGATTCACTCCATTAGACAAGAGAGTACTGCACAGATCTTCCCTAGATAATTTCATTTTCAGGCTCTCTTTCTGCATCTTCAAATACGGCAATGGCAGGACTAATCCTTCTCACATCACATCTCTCTGACTCTCCAGCTTCTCTCTTCCACTTTAAAGAACTCTTGAGATTACATAGGGCCCTCTTGAATAATCTCCTTATTTTAGGATCATCTGATTACGAATCTTAATTCCTTCTACAACCTCAATTGCCCTGTGCCAAATAAAGTTATCATATTCACAGATTCTAGGAATTATGAGGTGGACATCTTTGAAGGACTATTATTCTGCCAACCCCAGAAGGGAAAGCTCTTGTTCACCAAAAATCAAGCTAATAAATGGAGAAAGAAAGATGAAAATGGAAAATCACCACTTGACAAAACCCCTAAAAGATTCAAACAAGAATCGATGGATTCCAATAGGTGAGAGACTACTGGGGAATTGAAGACACACACATCTGAAAATATCACTACAGAGGATGCCTGTAACAGACAACACACCTTTATGACAAAGCAATCTGAAAACACTATCTTAACCAAAGGCTCAAATCTGCCTTCACCAATGAGGCAAAAGAATAACATCACATGCTTCTAACAGTGACACACTGAGAAGGACACAACTTCACTAAGTGATATTCCTATATATGTTTAAAAATCTGAACCTAGGGGCTGGGGATGTGGCTCAAGTGGTAATGCGCTCGCCTGGCATGCGTGAGACACTGGGTTCGATTCTCAGCACCACATAAAAATAAAGATATTGTGTCCACCTAAAACTAAAAAAAAAATTAAAAATATTTTTAAAAAATCTGAACTTAAACATATGGCAACAGTCAGAAAAGGATAACAGTCCAATTTAAGGATTTATCTATAAAATACCTAGCCAGGAATATTTTAAAAGGTCAATTTCATGAAACTCATACAGAAAAGGTCTGGAAAATGGCTGTAGATTAAAGTAGACCAAAAAAAAAAAAAAAAAAAGACAATTAAATGTAATCTCTGATTAGATCCTAGACAGAAAAACAAAACAAAGGCTACAAAGGACAAAATTGAAGCAATGTGAATGTGCACAGGGACTGTAGTTTAAAGAATGGTAGTTTACCAAGGA